TGGATCGTGATGGGCGAGAAGAGTGGCTTGCGCAAGAGCCGTTTTGATTTCAGTGAATGCAGTACGTGCAGAATCGTTCATTTCCAATCTGCGTGGGTTGCCGCGTAGTAAGTCGGTTAGTGGTCGTAACCGTTCTGCCGCGTGTGGGATGAAACGACGGTAGAAGTTAACCAAACCGAGAAAAGCCTTCAGTTCCTTGAGTGAGGACGGCTCGTTGTACTCCTTTATCGCTTGCACTTTGTCCTCACAAGGTAAAATACCCTCTTGCTTGATAACATGACCCAGAAATATGATCTCTCGTTTACCAAACTCGCATTTGTCTGGGTTAACTACTATTCCATTATCCGAAAGGCGTTGGAATAATAGCGTAAGATGTTGATAATGTTCATCTACGTTTGATGATGCGATTAGCAGGTCATCAATATAGACGTGAACAAAATCGAGGTCTCGTACAATGCTATCGATAAACCTTTGAAAAGTTTGAGCAGCATTCCGTAATCCAAATGGCATTCGTAGGAACTCAAACAAACCGAAAGGAGTCGTGATAGCAGTCTTTTCGATATCTTCAAGAGCGACTGGGATCTGATGATATGCTCGTACCAGATCGATCTTAGAAAAGATAGTCGTGCCCTTGAGCGATGCCGTGATGTCGTGTATGTGGGGGATGGGGTAGCTATCAAAGCGCGTAACTACGTTTAGAGCTCGGTAGTCGCCGCATGGTCTCCAACTAACCCCATCTTTTTTGCGCACCATGTGAAGAGGAGAGGCCCATGGACTGTGAGAAGGACGAATAATACCAGTAGCTAGTAAATTGTCAAACTCACGCTTAGCAAACGCTAATTTGTCCGGTGCCAGTCGGCGAGGTCGTGCCGTGACTGGCGGTCCGCGGGTGACTATGTGGTGTACCACACGATTGGTCACCGATGGAAGCTCCTCGAGTGGTTTAGTGAGTACGGGGAATTTCTCGAATAAAGCGTGGAATTTATCGTCACGCGAGTAAAAAGTGCCGAGGATTCGGTACGCGTTCATGTGGGCTTTACAGCCCATGAATTTGCTGTTCGACGAAGTATCGATTAGCTGCAGCCTACGTGAATCGACAAGCAATTCATAGTGCTGTAGAAAATCGATACCTAGTATGGCTGTGGGAACATCAGCAATGATGAACGTCCACAGATACCGTCGTCGGTTGCCCAGGTTGACCGCGAGTTGTCGTGTACCGTAGGTAGGAATGACTGAGCCATTCGCAGCGCGTAGTCGAAGCACTGTGGCTTGTGACTTGCTGCTACCTCGTGGTACGACAGAAACTTGGGCCCCAGTGTCTACTAGGAACCTAGCGTTCGTGCGGTAATCGTGCACATAGAATAGGCGACCAACCTGGGGTGAAGGGCCGGCGAGTACGGCCGCTTTTACTCGCCGGCGCTGGCGTTTCCCGCCTTGTATGAGCATGGTGCTCGACAACGGCGGGCGCCAGACCCGAAGGACCTATGGAACCAGCACCATCTATCACTCGCTTCCGTAGCCGCCTTCCGGCGTGGCTTGGAAGATGCCCTTTTTGGGCGAGTGGTGACGCGTTTGCGAGAACTTGAGCGAGCTCGGGGGACGTAGGGTTGGGGTACGTTACAACGGTCTCGAAAACTAAGACGTGTGTGGATACACCCGTCCCTGTCGCCATGAGCTGAGGAATGACCGGCGTCCAAGTCTACTTTAGGACGTGCCGTTGAAGCAACTACATAGGTATCTTTATTGCTAGTCCTCGCTAAAATTTTATCTGCTATGAGGGCTACCTGGTCAAGCGGTGAGTCCTCGAGCAGTGCCGTCACAGTGGGTTGGATGTGTGCTGGTAGTGACTCTAGCCACAATTCCTTAACTATTTCTGAGTCACTTGCTGTTGGTCCTGCAAGAGATTGCAGGCGCGTGAGGTGGTGGCTCGGTTTAGCATCACCCAGGGGGTGACGTGCTAACAGTGTCCTCAATCGTTCCTCCCTCGATGGGAGGAAATGTCGGAGAATTGCCTCTTTGAGGCGATCATAAACATTAGGTACGTTAGAATTGAGGACAACCTCACGAACAGCTACTAAGTGGTCCCCGGGTAATGACTCGAGAGCGTAGGCGTATTTTTGCCTTTGGCTCGTGATCCGACGAGTCTCGAACTGAGACTCCAACGCAGCAAACCAGACCTCAGGGTCGTGGGGGATAAATGATACAGGTCGAAAATGAATGGCCTGTACGTCTGAGTCTATAGCATTAATAGTATTCTTCTCGCTATCCGTCATGTCGTGTATATTATATATTAAAAATTAATATGAAAATATACGACAGACGTGGATAGATAAATAATAGACTCACCAAATTGGCTTCTTTGGAAGATTTGACCCGAGGTTGAGGCGTGTTCCAAACTTTGGGATCACCAATTGTAGCGTGGCGTCGAGTTGAGATTAACTGTGAACACCGCTACCCAGAAACACGTGCCAGACAAATCAGAAGGCGAGGATCGATCGTAACCAGATTTATTTCGTTGGCGATCTCGTGGTATTGAACGAATACCGAGGTCGTGCCAAGGAATGGTACAAGTGAAAGCAGAAACGTGAGTACGTGCGAGCAGTACCAAAAACCGCGGAATAATAATGGAAGGTAATGGAAGCACAAAATGGCTACAATTAGCACAGTTAAACAAAAGCACATTAAAACAAACACTGGTACAGTTGGTTATAATAATAATTGTTTTTATTAAACCAGTCGTGTTCTCGTGATAAACGTGAGTCACTACACCACCATGGAAAACCTGGAAGCACTGGACGGCCGTTTCGTTCATTCTATTTGTCATCAATATTGTCTTAATTTTAGAAAAAAAATTCATAATGCTTATTTGCTGATCGAATCGTGCACTCATCTCATACTGGCATTATAATTATACAAATTTAATTGTTGAAATATCGCCTGAAAGAGTTTTAAAAAAACCCTACTTCTGTTGCAATTCATGGTTATGACTATAAATATGTAATATTTCAGTAAAGTCCAATCAATTCAACACTACTTCAATGAATAAATTCAAGATCGCATTATATTTCTGTAAAGTAAAGATAAACACATGATCACGAAATGATAAAATTCTACTTGAACATATAAATACTTTAATAGTTGAATTCATGAGTCATGAGCACTGAATGGCCGTCGATGGGCACTCCTGAGAAGTCCCACTCTAGGACGAAACGGCCGTTCAATGCTTTCAGGTTTTCTATGGTAGTCTGGCTTCAACTGACTCATGAATTCAATTATTAAATTACTATAATATCCACAAAACCCCTCTCGGAAAATAAATATTTCCTGCTACAATGAATAATGATATATTTAGGTCTTGTTTGTGTACTGGTCAATATCTTGACGATCATCATGAAATAAAGAATTATAATCCATGATACTGTAGTGTCAGTTATTATGTTAAGCCCATATACTTTATTCTAACTTTCGGACAGCTCATTATATTCATTCTACTTGAGTCATATTTTGACCTTGTGAATTATTCGCTTATCAGTCTTGACTGTTTTTATATGAGCGTAGGTGTGTATACATTTCTTATCCCATTACTCATCACATGTCTGTAACTTACTTTTGTGTAACTACAAATATTAATTAACACTTGGCTAAATGGGAGTTGGTTTACCGGCCATCTCCACTCTGTGTCGTTTCTCTTCTCTATTCGCTTCATATACAAAATATATGTATTCGGAAGTCCATTCTCGTTATTTGACTTATCTAAATCCGTTATTGACTAACGCGATTGAAGTCGATAATTGTATACGAGGATAGGTGATAACAAACATTCGTACGATCTAAATGGAGTCAGATTCACGGGCCACTAAAATAATAAAACCTGTCATCATCAGTAAATAAAGAGAACTCTCAACAGAAAAAAATTGAATTTAATATAATTAAATTATTTTGATTTATAATATGCCCTAAAATATTTCTACTTATGAGAAATGTCTGGTGAATTAGTCTTTACTACAAAATAAATCAAAACAGTCGATGTGTTTATTCCGGTCAAGTAAGTCCTGTTTTCTGCTAACAGTTTATCGTTTGTTAGTAGTGAAAAGAAGGATGACTAGATCAGTCTGATTCGTAAAGCCCTTGTTATTTGTAATAATTCGTTTAAACGACTAAAGGCTAATCAGAGATCTTTTGATTAATAAATCCTCTTTAGGATTCATCCTATTCATAAGATACATCAATGACTTAAAATCATAAAGAATAAATCATGTAACGCACAAATTTAATGGAGAATAGTTTCAGAGAAGATTGGATCTCGTTCATTTGCGTCCTAACTAAATTCTGATAATGGACCAATCAAATAGAGGGCTGAACATACAATTGAATGTCTTTTTCCATTTCTTCCAATCACAAAGAGAATATGAAATACAATCTGATAGACAAACATATTCGTTTATTAATTAACCAAAATAAAATAAATAGAATTTCATAGACCTTCACGGATCAAATTATTGTACGCTATTGGATTCACGGTGGAGTGTATACTCTCATTCTTTATTAAACGGAATTTTTAAGAGTACACAAACGATGACTGATCAGAAGTTAGCAAAAGCAAAAGTGGTATTTGTATTAGGTAAGAATAAACAACCACGAGATTTTTCTTTTATTATTATTACTTTAATTATATATCTACAGTGAAACTATAATTTATGGATTAACCGATCGGATTTAAGAAAACAGGTCGTGGATTTCTGCGCGAAATTCTTTATTCATTTTGCTAAATAGCATCTTGATAATTTATCTGATGTCGGTTCGTGATGAAAACCCTAGATCTAATCCTTATCCTTAACCATCAACTAAATCATAATCCTTATCCTTCACATAAGTTTAAAACCCTCATTTAGCCTAGTCAGTAGTTGAACATTCTCAAGGCCATTTTAGCATCGCTCAAAGGTCGTCCATAAATTGTAGTCTCACCAATTTCTAGATTTGCAAATTCCAAGTATTCTGAAGTAATTTGTAATGAACTAATAGAAAAACTATTTTTTCACTTATAAAATGACTGCCAAGTTTATATTTTTCATAGTGATTTCAGTACTTCACGATTATTCACTCACTGAGTATAGTCAGTTTCTTTGAGTTTTGACCACAGTGGCATCACATCTACTTATTTTCATAGAAAGAAGAATTTAGCGGAAATGCTCAACCATAGCTCTGGTGTCATATACTTTATTATTACTTTATGTGATGGATTCTACAGGGTTATGTGAGTTTCAAAAAGTGATAGATAGCTCGTTTACTGTATAAGATTAGTGAACTTACAATATGTTTTTTATCTTATCAATCTTTGTTAATTAATCGATTGATGTATTTATTAGAAGTGTTAAAATAGGTTAGTTATATTCAATACACGTTTTAGTTGCTTTATAAGGGTTCATCAATTTAATCTGTTTCAACATTATTGGTTTTTTTGTTTATGTAGCATTTTAGGGAATATTTAATAGCGCTTTTTCAATGGTATAGTAAATTTCTATTCTTCAACAAACGCACCGTCATGAAATTCTCCTTATATTTAAAAAAAGACGAAACAAATACATATGAATGTACAAATCGTAGATTACAATTAGTATAATGATGTATTTACATCAATAAATGGTCCGTACTAAGTATGTTCAGTTAGTTTGTACATCATAAATAAAAATATTAAATCTAAGCACTAATCCAGTAATTAATTGACTCAAACAAATGTAATAAGTGTTGTTACGTTTGACATTCCGGTACTAACTTTCAACACTTGATGATTATTTTGTATATCAGAAAGACGCAAGACGGTTAATCATTAAAACTCAGTGAGGGGTTTTGGGCTTTTCAGCTGCGCAGACCTATGACTCCACATAGGATGGAATTTGTGGTGAACACGATTCTTTTAAATAGCTGGTTCTGAATTCGATGGTCCGGTACTGTACAGTAACCTTCCAAAATATATCACTTCGCCATAAAAGCTAAACTGAATTCGAATCCCTAAGAAACACTTCACTTGAAAAGCGGTTAGTTTTCGGATTTGTAAACATTTTTACGAATAATCATCACAAGATTATGTGGTGGTTACTAAATTGGCAGTATCAAAATGACTAATTGATCTTAGCTAGATCACCATTGAAGACTGAAAAGCATTAAATGGCTGTCTCATCCTAATACGTGACCCATCGGCATTGCGGATCGACTACCTCCCCACGGGTGATCGTGGTCACGTGCTAACGCCCCATCTTTACACCCTTGAGCCCACATAGTTAGCTTTGTTCAGTGGAGTTCAATCATATAGGATGTGAGACAACTACCTCATGCAATTAAAAATGATCGTGAAATATTGTGATTTGATTAAAGTTAAACATTAACATCGTTCGGTTCTAGCTTAGTGGTCCTGATTTTGTAAGGGCTGATGAAACCAATTGGCCGTTCGAGCCAGAGTAGTGTGAAAAGAATTCAAAACTAATGGCTCTCTTTTTAAAACCTAGATGCTTTGACAACTTGAACATTGTCTCAGTTTGCTCTGAAGTATCAAATAGTATTCTAGTAGAGTTAAACTGTTTAAAGGAAATCACTCAATTCTTCGGCGTTTACTGTCATTAATTTATTCATACTTTAAGTACAAACTATGTAGATAGCTTTAGGTAATTATAATAAAGTCCGTAGTATAAATTACACTTCTCGAGCGCTGGCACAATAAATAAGAAGGTAAAATACTTGGAAACGCTATATATTGCAATTTGATTAAACATTGGATCACGATTTAATTAAATTTAACATGGTTTAGATTATTATGTCGATATTTTTTATTGGAATTCAATTAGTCTTGATTGGCATATGGCCATTCTGTGCAGATTGCCTCCATATAGCCATGAGGATACAAGTTGATATGGAATGGATGACTTGTGTTTAGCATTGGAATCAAGGACACGCACTTTTGTCTTATGCGCAGCTTGTCAGCTAGATGTACGTGCATCTAAGAGTTGGTGCTCATTCCTGGACTAGATCCAATACCGTCCACTTCAAACGTCATCGCGTTATTAATTTAGCTACTAAGTTCAGATAGCCATTCACTTGTGCAGCGGATATGAGATTTAATTCAAGTTGAAATGGTTTGGATTATCCCGTTGCTGATATTGGGAAAGCCTGGTTATCCTCACACTGTTCCTCCAGTTACGCATCTTAATTATATAGCAACTCAGATGCACTTTTCAGTCACAATAACTTCTACTTATAAGAATAACTATACTTTTAGTTAAAGATGCGCTAGGAGAAGATATTTTCAAGGCTTTTAAACTTATTGTCAAT